AATTAACCAGGTGTAATATTGTGGGTGTGGTGTATGAATGTTAACACTATGTAATATTTCTACTTGTGTGATGTAGAAGATAATTGTCAAAGTATGTAATTATGTAAGAATGTTAACAGTCTAATATTTTTTAGTATATCACTAGCGTGGTGTAGAACAAAATTATCTATGTAGTAATACTGCTTGCAAACCAATGATGGTAAGATGATGTCATGGGGTAGGACTAGATAAGTCTAACTTCTTCCTACTCTGTTCAAGCATGTACTAGGTATAAGCACATTGATAATGCATTTGTGGATATGTGTGAAATTATGTGTGTTGACATATTGACTGTCTTTACATGTTTGAAAGAATAAATCAAATCAAATCAAATCAAAGTACTAAAAGTAAAAGTACTCATGCAGAATGGCACATTTAGCATGAATGTATATGATTGTATTATAATTACTGATGCATTATTATGTACATTGCCTTTAAGGTTGCAGCTGGTAAAGGGGAATTAGTTTTAATTAGCTTATATGCTTATAATTTGAAGTACATTACATACTGCTGGGTATCTTGTGAATTTTCCACTGGAGTCTTAAGTCTTATGATTATGCTGTAATTTTTGTATTCCTCTGATTATGAAAAGGAACCAGTATCTAAAGATATACATCCAAAGTAAAGTTGATGTATGACATAACACAAAATTTAAATATTTAGTATATTGTATTGTATATGTATTTAGTATAGATACCTCAAAATTGTCCTAAGTACACTACTTCACCACTGTGGCTACAGAATTTCACTTTAAATCTGAACCTCCACCTAGTAATTCTGGGCACCACTTTCACATAAAGAAGACTGAGACCCATTTGTTTTGTAGTGAGGTTTATGACAAGGTCAACATGTGCCACTGTTTCAGCCTACTGTTTAAACCTGGCACTGTTCCACGTACAGTGCAAGTGCGTACTGATTTAGCTTATGAGATATTTAGATTTGCGATTTTAAGATGAATGACTTTTCCTCCTTGTGACAAAATTACAAATTCTGGTGGTTTTCTTCGTAATTTCTAGAAAAAAATTCCAGCTTTCGTTGATTTGCACAGTGGGTGTTCTTTATTAGATAGAAGGGTTATCGTGGCTGGTGTCAACAAGTAAACCATTTCCGTAAGCTTAATGCCACAATTACACAGACTGGCGGGAAAGTGGTACAATGATCCATAAGGTGTGGTCTGCGGACATTTCCATTTTCAATCTACGGGTAAAAAAAGAAAAGAAAATCAAAGAGACAAGTCTGCTCATGTCCCGAATCAAACGCGCACGAAGCCAAACACAAATGCCAGAGCTCATATGATCATAATTAAGTGCGCAGTGAGAGTGGGAGGAGGACGCGCTGTTTATCCTGTGAAGTGTATAACGGTCACTCCTTCTCCCACCACTCAGCCACTGATCGGCCAGTGTTGCGCTCCTCCTCGCTCTGTTTACAGCCTGTATTAGTATTGTAAGAACACAGGACAAAATCAAGGGGACTTTTTAAGGACAACTTTACGCACTTTTACGCACGGAAACATCGGTGACTCTTCAGGAGTGACCGCCGGACTGAGAAGAGAGCGGAACCTATACGCCGGAAAGGCAACTTGTAGACCTGCTTTTTGAGCATATTTGAAGTAAGCGCCAGCTTCATGTATCTTATAACTGATATATTTATCTGCGTTTGGGACACATAATACCCAGTGAAACTGCTTTGTTGTCAGTCTAGTCTACTCGAGCCAACAAACGTGGTGTTGTTGTTTTTGTTTGTTTGTTTGTTTTGCTGCCAGAGCAGGGTTTTCCTAACTTTATTCATTTGATTTGTTATTAATAATCTGAGCCATACGTCCTTAAGGCCTATATTATGGAAAGCGGGCTGCCGAGAAATAGGGCGTTGGCACACGTGTTAGTGTGCATGTGTGTGTGGTGGGTCTGGGGTGTATGAATGTTGTTGTGGGGGAAGTTTTCTTAAACTATGATATGAAATTGTGTTCTACTCTTCTTTGGAGTAACGTACTAAAATCCAACTATAATAAACTGAACTGATGATGTTTGATGTTGGTTTAAAAGTGATGGAAATATTTTGCTGTGTTTCTTTTCCTTTAATCAGCCATTATTATTTCCCCCCATTTTATTACATTAAATAGGCATTAACATATGCTACTATACATTTGCTTATACATAGTCTAAACCTGGTGCATGCCACCTTAACCACTTGAACCACTATGTTGAGTCAATACCTTTCCTGTTAAATGTATTTTCTGTTATCATGTCTTGCTTTCTCTGGTTTGATCCAGGTCACACTGAGCAAAAGAATGAAACTATTTGGAAATAGCATATTTGAGCTTTTGTAATTTGAGTTTGGTATTAGAGAAAAGTCCCACTGAAGTTAGGAGAACTTTTTATTAATTTAAACCAAATGACTCAACACACTGAAACCATCTCAAGTCAAGGGAAGTGTGTGTTCTTGATCATATGGCAAAGTGGTGTCATTCTTGATTTTGTTTAGGGGCCAGACTTGAAGAGAGAACTCTCTCCTGTTTTACATTTGTTTCCCCTAACTGGCCTCGCTCTCTGTCCCCCAGCCAGTGTTGCATTCTTTTGTTTAACAGTAGTTAAACCAACAGGGACACAGCTCAGACCTTCTTCCATTTGTTCTCCCTCTCTTCCCTCACCCACAAAACTCCTTACACCTGATTACATTAAATATTTAGGCAAGAAAGCTGAGCCCTCAGAAATAGAAAACTGAGGCGTGTGTGTATTTGCATGTGTGTTTGAGGCCACACTTCGGAATGATGTGCAGGGGACTTTCTTTTTTCCCTTTGAATCACTGCCTTCTGTTCATGGCAGGTTACAGGCTGCCCCCACCCACATGCATACATTTTCTTCTCTGCAGTTTTGATACTTCTAAATCTTACATAAACTTTATCAATAGGGGAATACTAAGGGGAAATCACCATTAGTGATTTAGTACTTTAATAGAAGCACATCACATTGTGTGTTATGTAAATAATGTGTCTTTTAAGCCGAGAGCTGCCGGAAAAATTTAGTTGTGCTATGCATAATGACAGTAAAAGATTCTTGACTCTTGATCAGAACTCTTGGTTTTGCTCTCAACACCTTCCAGTGGAGCCTTAAACACCTCTCTTCTCCTGATCTTTGCAGTCTTCATCCACTGAAGTCATGTTTTCCAAGGCTACTGCAAACTTCATCCATCAGATTGACCCTGAAGGAAGCCTCATCCACGTGTCCCGGGTAAATGACTCACAGAAGCTGGTTCCAATGGCACTCGTCATCAAACGCAACCGCATGTGGTTCTGGCAGAAGCCCAAGTACAAACCAACAGATTTCACCCTCGGTGATTTGTTGTTGGGCGACGAGGTGCTCTGTCCTGGTATGTACGTGTGTATGTATAATAAAGACTATGAATGTGAATATAGTATTTTATTTCCCTTGCATCCACCTTTTGTAAGACATTTTTGCTTTGCAGAGTTGATATTTTCACAGTGGATGAAAGATTTTTCACAATATATTTTCTGCGTTTGTTGTCAGAAGTGAGGGAGACAGAATTCCTGACCTACGAGGGGACGTTTGGAGACAAACTCTCTGGGAAGCTGGACACCCAGGCTGGCTCTGTCAGTGTCAAACTGGGGGGCCAGGGCACTTCCAAGCTCCAGTCATGTTTTGGCAAGCTGAAGAAAGAGGAAGTGGATGTGAAGAAGCTGTTACGAGACTCCGGTGACAGGTGTTAAATAATTCCTTTTCACACTGTTAACACACTGCAGCTAGTCAGAAGGTGACAGGACAATGACCTCATCATTGATGAGGTGAACAGTCTAAAAGTGTAGTCAGACACTTGACACCTCAAAGTGTGCAAAAACCTAACTGCAATTATAGAAATGACTTCTTACTTTACTTTGATTCATTGCACAGGACATGTGCTTTTCTGTTTCACATCCACCCTTTTCCTGTGAGCACACTTGTAGCTGGGTGGTAAATCCCAGCTTTATGAAATAATATACAAACTATTCTTTCTAAATGCACTGAGCTGTTGTAAAATCAGAACTGTTCCTTGTTGTCCAGGAAGGTGGACATGCAGCACACGCTGGTGCAACAGCTGGAGAAGAGGGCTGATGTGCTGGCGGTGGTGAAGGAGAGGATCCTCACCACCATTCCCTGCTCCATCACACAGACAAAAAAGGAGCAGTGCACCATTCAGGGTGTGCTTGGGCTGATGGGCAAGTTGGGGAGCTCTGTTAAGGTGGGCTTTGGTAGGGCTGAGTGTCCTAAAGAAACCTTTTTGTTTTCGTTTTGTTTTGTTTTGATCATCAAATGTTATTCAGCATATTTAAAAGGTAACCATTTAACCAATTAATCAACAGATGATAATTGATATTAATTAGTTCACCTCACAAGTTCTTTCAGTGTGAAAGGCTGGGAGACAGCTGCTGACAGGTGTACACGGCACTTTTCCTTTACTTTTACTTTTGGAATGCCCTTGCAACCTGGCTCCCTGCATCTCCTTTTATTGAGTGTCATGACTGGTCAGTGGCATTCATGTGTCTTGCTCTGTCTGACCAACAGTCCCAAATCCAAAGATGTTCATTACACAGTGATAAAAAACTGAAAAGAAAAATATCTGCGACACTAAGAAACATTTTCCCTTAAAAAAAAGAAAAGAAAAAAATACAGTATGTATATTCTCAGGTGTGTGTGAAGGACAGCAGCAACATTGAGATGGACAGTGATGTTTCTTTGGAGATTTCTTCTGGTACAGTCATTGCTTACAGCGTCCTGGAGCTGGAGATCAAACGAAATGGACACTATGGTGAGCGTGTGTGAGGTTACAGAGATGCAAACTGGGATTGATGTGTGGGAAGCAAAATCGCTGAAGAGGAAAATCATAATATTACTTCTCCATTCTGGGTTGTAATCACTGACCACAAACAGAACCACCTTCATCAGCATTGTGCAAAAATGTATCAGGAATTGTGTATCACCATAGCTACAATAAATATTTCATTGAAGTAGAAGCATGGAACAGACAGTTAGGCAAACATCCTCATGTAATAGTAGTACTTATTGTGGGATGTGTCTTTGATGTTCAAAGATGTGTTTTGATTGGGTCTTTGCTAATATGCTTGTGCATCTGTAGGTCTGTGTGTCTCTTTTACAACACCCATGCTTACTTGTCTGTGTTTCTCTATTATACTGTGTGTATTTGTTTTTGCAGATATATGTCTTCAACCTGACACAGCCGGAGGCTTTGAGGCCGACTTCGCTGTAACATCCTTGCCTTCCCAGAATTTTTTGGATGCAGTGGATGGTTGGTGCAGTAGGGAGAAGGTTCCAGAGATATTACCTTTGGGTGCATTGTGAAATGGTTTCCACTCATTCATACTTTTAGTCAGTTACCCAGTATTGACACTTGCCATTGTATTTCATATTTTATAAGGAAGTGAAACAGCAGTGAAATGATAGCAGGTTCCCCTTTCTCCCAGACACATTGTGGATTTTAGGAATTTTTGCACTGACAGTAAGGGTCATTTGTTTGTTGCAAAATCTTGGGTTTAAACTATAATACTTATGGACAGAATTATTGCAACTTTGAAGAAAACACTAAAGTAGACTGATCAGGTGAATATATTAATCTGTCATTAAAAAAACAGCAATAGACAGTATATCTCTTTATAGTGTGATATAAATGTTAACTTATGTGATACTCATCGTCTTTCTGAGATTTTTATAGGATTTTCAAATAAGCACAGTATATTGAAATGGTCAGCTTTGCTTGTCTCACTGTTTGGGATGCCACAGAGAGCAAAAAGTTACTTTATAATTCTTAATTGCATCCATTCTCCGTCACTGTAATTGATGCGGTATCTCCTGGTCTCTTACAGGAGAACAGGAGAACATCTCCTGGTCTCTTACAGGAGAACAGGAGATGGCCCTGTCTCCGCTGGCAAAGCTCCCTCAATCAACTAAATGTGGCTTGATCAAGAGCCTCCAAGAAACAATGAGAGACAGAACTGCTCTGTCATATCTGCAGTGTGTGGTGAGTGATATCAAGGCATGACACCAGCATCAGCACAACATGTTTGTGATGGCTCTTAGCCAGCTTGTGAAAACTGGTTATCTGGGTTTGAAAACTAACCCAAAGAAACACAATCTTTTACACAACCAATATTTTAAGAGAAGAATCAAGCTTCAATCACCATCTCTCTCTCTCTTTTTTATATGCTTCCTGTTTTCCTCATCTCCCATTTCTCTGTACCTTTCTTTCTGTTAGCTGGAGGAGTTGTGTTGTGGTGAAAAACACAATCCGGACAAGCAAGAGGAGTTGTCTGAGAGTCAGAGAACATTAGTGTCAGCCATAATGACCCAGCTCACCAAAGGCAGTTACTGTGAGAATAGCCACCCTGCCAGCTGTCCACACCTGAATGCAGCTCACCTGTTGGTCAGTGCCATGGAGGGTAAGGGACAAATCCTGACCTAAAAGGACTATAAACATTTTCTCCACTGTTCTTTGAGCACCACAAGCTGCTCCTCTAGAAATCACTTTCAACACTTTGACCTTGTTTTGTTCTCATAGAGTTGCCTGATGAAACCCTGAGCCTCCTGAGTGTGAGCTGTTCAGATTTTCTGCAAGCCTTTGACACACTGGTTAGTTATCTGTTTCATTTATTGCACATCTTTACATTAGTGGCTGTTATATATGAGTGGGGAATGACAATTATTTATTTAACCACATGATTGCACAAACTGAATTATTTGAGAAAATTATTAAAACGGTTCCATTTTGCAATGGAAAAATGTGAAACACTGGCATAACTGTTATCATTAGTTTTAAAGGAAAGTTTCAGTACTTTAGGCAATACACATGCCTTTCTTGTTGAGAGCCAAATTAGAAGACTGATATGTTTGTGCCATAAATACAGTATACAGTATAGCCTAGTTTAGCATAAAAGAGGAATCAAGCAGCCCGTGCATGTCCCAATGATGGTAACAAAACCAGCCTACTAGTATCTCTACAGCTCACTAATCACCACATGGTATTTCATTTTTTAAACTCCTAGAAAAAAAAACATTTCTTGTCATTTTCTGGAGTCCACAACTCCTGCCAGAAGTTGAGGGAGAAAGAAAGCGAATAAGCACATTTCCTACTGACTGTTCCTTTAAGGAAGTAACCATTAATCCTTTAAACCGTGACTTTGTGTCAAAGAGCTACTGTATCTGTCCATCTATCTCACCAGATGTGCAGGTTAAAAGAGAGCAAGAAGCCTCTGTCTATCCAGCATCTTCCCATCCCACTGCAGGACAACCAGGCCTTCCAACAGGCAGAACAGCTGTTTAGCTCCAACAGTGTGACACTGAAGAGAGACACCAACACGCTGTGGATTGATACAGGATGTAAAGCAGGAGTTCTGCCTTTGCTGCTGCGCCTCAGTGTACATGGATTGTCCTTGCTGTGCAATGGGCTGAAGTAGAAGTTGAATCTGCACTTTTGTCTTTTTTATAGACTATGTTTGGTCTATTTTTTCTTTTTACTGTACTATAATCTGATGCTATTATGGTACAGTAAGTATCTTTTGCATCAATAATAAAAAGTTTAAGATATTGTTTTATATTGTTATATGCATATGAGAAGAGCTATTATTTTTAACTTAAAAGAAACACTTAATTTCTCTGAAATTGATACTGTTGTTATTATTTTGCATAAATTCTGTTTCACTGCTTACATTTAATCATTTTACACTATTCGTTATCAGTAGGCTGAGGAAGCTCAGTGATCCTACAACCAGCAATTAAGCTGAAAAAGAGAAATTTAAATTATATAGTTCAAGAATTGTTTACATGTCAGACTTCCAGTTTAAAAAAAATGTAAAAAATTTGATGTATGCCAAATGTACATTAAATGACTGCTGCTCCTTATAATCCATCAGTCCATTATCTACACCGCTTATCCTGAAGAGGGTCACGGGGGGCTGGAGCCAATCCTGGCTGACACTGGGTGAGAGGTGGGATACACCCTGGACAGGTCGCCAGTCTATCACAGGGCTGACACTTAGAGACAGGCAACTAGACACAGCCACACTCACTCCTATGGGCAATTTAGAGTCACCAGTCAACCTAAGCTGCATGGATTGTGGAAGGAAGCCAGAATACCCAGCGAAAATCCAATGAGGCACAGGGAGAACAGGCAGACAACAAAGATGGTTGTGCTATAGCTTTATAGGCACATTCTTGTTTGTTGGGTACATTTTAATTTATTGTTGTTTGGGAAAAACACTTAATCCAATTTTGAAAAAGCTTTTCATTTAAGTCTTTGTATCATATCTTTGTTAAATCTCAATTAAACACTGCAAGAATAAAAATGTGATGCTAATTAAAAATGTGTATCTTTATTGGAAACATTAAAGGCAAAAGTTTACTTTTGGCTTCTTTGTGTTGAAATGTATGTACAATCACACAGATTTTATTTTTTATTGATTTTTATTTTATTATTATTGTTTTCAGTTGATTTCAGCATTTGTCTAATGTCAGCATTATTATAAAGATGTATACAATGCACTAGCTGTCAGATGAATTAATCATGGTGTGTAAACTGGTATCATCCAGCCCTGACTCCCAGATGTACACCATAGTCTTTATTTTACAACATTTAAATGTGGTTAGCCCTTTGAGTTTGCCTGTGGTCCTACTTTTGCATGTTTTGTTGTTACCAAGTTTTATACACTATAAAAAAGTATATAAACCACAGTATTGAGCTTGCCTCCATGGATAGAAGGGTGTCTGTGTTCACAGACCATGAATAATTCACATCTAAAATGTTGGCTTCACCTGTTAGGGTGGGACAACCAACCATACACCATTGTGTGTCACTAACTTACAATGCCAGCCGCATTATAACCGTATCATGTGGTCCTGCTTTATAGAGGGTCCCTCCCTATGTGAAGCTGGATGTAGGTTGTAAAGTGGTTGATGACAAATGAATTAACACTCAGGAAACATAGGGTCAGTAGGTATTACCCCATCAAAAGTGGTCTCTGGTTATATAGGCTTATGGGGCAGTGGGGCAAGACACTTCTTTTTTTAGTCTGCGGAGTAGTTGATAGAGTATTAGTGATGCATAAGGGGGGAGGTGCATGGAGTGGGTGCATTGGTGCCCCAGCAGCACATTTTTGCCACAGGCCCCCATACAGGTTCATCTCTATATGCTCACAAGGTAATAAAATGGCAATGGTGATTGCAGAATCTGGTGGGCAATCAGGAAATGTCATGAACTGCTCTGCCCAGTTTAAAAAGTCTAATCAGTTAGAAAATAAAATAAAATAAAATGAAAGAAATAAAGAAAGAACAATGCATGTGGGTGCCCAAGACCTTTAACTGAGATCAAAGAACCTATTAGCGCTGCCCAATATTGTTTTTGAAGATGCTTTCACTTCACCCTACTAAATCTGTAAATTAAAATATATGCTGCCAGCCTGTCCAATTTAAAGTCGCCAGCTTATGAAGCAGATAATGTTACACATTCTATAAAGTAGATGATACATTTAACAGTGTATGATCTTATGAAAAAAGTTAACACTCCTGAACACATTGTAGGCACTGAGGAAATTCTGACTGAAATGAGTGCATTTCTGTATGGTGTTACTGAAAATGAACTCGACTGCCACGTGGGGGCGCTGTTGTGCCTGATATTCATGATCGTCAGGCCATGACGTCAATTTCCTGCGACCTAATGCTTCGTGAGCTGAGTTGAACGAAAACATAGCTGAAGAGGGAAACTGATAGCTGGAAGCTTAGAAAAGTCACGTTGAATTTGATTAACAGCGCCGTGTGAAAATGACAATATGCAACTTTTTTCTTCAGGGTCGTTGTCGTTACGGGGACAAATGTTGGAATGAGCACCCGAGGGGAGGAAACCGAGGAGGAGGAGGAG